ACAAATGAGTACATCTACATAATTTACCCTCAAACATCAATATAATAGGAAAGGCACAAAATACGCGCTCATGTTCCAAAGTCACTATCCACGGATTTCGGACGCCCGTGCTTATCAACCTACCAAGATGCGCTTTTTAGGGCCCAAATTGCGTGTCTGCACTGTACCCTACGCACGGGAAGACTGAAATCCGTCGATCTCTCTTTTTTTCAGTTCGCATTGTTTTAGCTTCGAAGGTACACTGAACTATATTCTGTATTCTACTGTGGTCGCGACAACTACATGAGAAGGAAACTCGCGACAACTACATGAGAAGGAAACTCGAAGAAAATCCCGGTGGCAGACCGATAGTCTGGCCAAATAGCAAGGTATACCTTATGAATTCAATTTACGCCGGCAACATTTGTACATCCCCTTTTGTTTATCAAGCATATAGTATTAGTATGTCGGTGGCCTACAGATACGCTACCCGACAATCAACAGCTTAACATATTTGAGAGGGAAACTCGTAGAAAACCCGGTGGTCGACCGATAGTCGTGCCAACTTTAAGATGGAACCATAAACTAGAAATGAACTCAGCAAAACCGGTCAATCTGTGTGATCTCCAGAGTCTTCAAGGAAAATACCTGAAGACTCTTCGATTTGAGCGCTGTTTTCAAACCTTCCTAGTCAACGAAATTCTGCCTACATGAGTCAAATTAACCACAGATCGCTCCCGCTGAAAAAAAAATCTGTGAGGGTGATTTCTTGAGAAAAGTTTATTCAAGAAATCGTTTCTCAGAAGATTATTCTCAAGATGTAAATTCCTGAGAGCACAATGAAGCTATCCAGCCGTGAGTTTCTCAAAACATTTTCAAGATAAAGCTTGAGATCTCGTTTTCCGAAACATTCAAGACGGCGGCTCTTGCACATCTCAAAACATAAGGATGGGATCAAAATTTCTCAAAACATCCACCACAGCTGCCAGCAAATGCGCACGTTCTCGCAAGAAACACTCAAAACATATCAAAAAAAATTCATTCCGATAAGACCACAAGATAAGGATAGCATATATATCTCACGCCTGCTAGTCCTCTTTGCACTAGCGTTCATCGGCAGTCACCATCGACAGTCGTTTTCATCGTGCTCAACGCCCATCGACGATACGACATCGGCACAAGGATGTCCCAGCAACAGTTCATGCTGAAAAATGCAAAGCAGAGGCTAACTAGGCATCTCAATGCCCTCACTAGCTTATTGCTGGAGGCCCGCGAATTTGAAGAGCCATGGAAATTCCCCAGTGGAGCTCAAGAGCTGACCCTTTTCCTAATTTCAAAAGATATGCTTGTCAAAAATCTGATTCTCAAATTGGGGCAAAGAAGGGACGACATCAGCGACTATTACGCAGAATGCAACCAGTCAATAAATAACCTCGATCAAGAACTCAAAGGAGAGATTGAAAAACAATTTGATGACTATTGGTCTGAGAAAAAAGGAGAGGACCTACTTCATCAAGCAGAAAATCTTGAACGTCAACTAGAGATACGCCTAGTGGAACTTCAATGTCAAGAAACAGCCTTCAAAAGAGAATTCAAAAAAGAAGAGGAACAAGGAAACTCAAGTCAAGTTCAATTCGTACAGAGCTCAAGTCAACAAACTCCTCTAGCTAATACGTGGACAATGGAACGAAGACTCTTGGGTAACGAGCTGAAAGTACCCAACTTTCATGGCAAACCCTCCGAGTTTGACTCCTTCTGGGAATTATTTGAAGAGTTAGTTCACAAGCAACCTTATTCAAACATCGAGAAACTGTCAATACTTATCAACTGCTGCAAAGGAGATGCAGCAAGAACCCTTCAAATGATACCAAGGACAGGAGAATCCTATGAAAGGGCTGTTAATCAAGTTGAAAAGTCAATATCAAGATCCTCGGCGAATTATAATACAAATGATCCGAAAGCTCAAGTCGATGAAACAATGTCAAGATGACCATCGCTCCTTGAGAAACAATCTCAATGACGTTCAAGCCATTATAGCCACCCTTCAAAGGCAGGGAGAGTCAGTGAACACCACTAATATGAGAACAATGGTCTTGGATACGTTTTCGAAACCTATTCAGGACGAAATGGCCAAGAAAGAGTTCGACTCCGGCAATGTATGGAATATGGAAAATCTACTGGACAATCTTTCAATAGCAATCAGACGCAAGGAACACGTTGACAGTATAAAGGACCCCTATCAAAGTGAACGCTCAATATTTCACACAAGCACAATGATCCTACCAAAAGTGCGCTGCACGGGTTGCGGACAAGACCACAGGTTCCAGCATTGTAACAAATACTGGAACACCATGCAAAAAATAGAGCGTTTACGTGAGCTCAACGCATGTTGGAAGTGTTTTAGCCTCAAACACCATACAGCATTCTGTCGCAAACAGAACTGTCTTCATTGCGGAGGTCCACACAACCACATTATTTGCCGTCAACGTCAAAAACGTCTGAATGAAAGACATGACATCAGTCAGCAGAGATACATCTCACCCTACCAGAGGCGAACGGACAACCAGTCAACTTATCCAAGACGAAGAAGCCAGTCTCCAAAAAGGTCATTCAAAAGCAGGAGTTATTCACCGAACAGACAAATCAATAAAAATAGACCTCCCAATTTTACGCAACATGATCAATCCCCACAACGGTCATCACAAAGACCGTTACACAAGAACCCTCTCAACAAGAATACAGTCACACAATCTCCCTCGCCTGCAAGAACCCCTGAGCGTCAAGTTCGATTCAGTCAATCACCCAGGCCACGGAAACGATCTTTCGAAAACATCAACGTCAACTTGCAAATTCAAGAATGTCAAGCCACGGAAGAGGTCAACGATGAATTCACAAACGCTTTTATAAGCAGCAGTAATGTACGTCTGATGATCGTTCCGGTCCAGATACAATCACCAGAGGGTCACCAGAGAGAGACCGTACTAGCACTTCTAGATTCGGCCTCAGATCAGTCGTTCATATCAACAGCACTTGCCCGAAGAAAGAATCTTAAAATTCAAAACGAAACTACCATCGTGGTGAACACTTTCGGAGGAAGAGCCGAAAAGAGGAGGGCAAAAAGGTAATCACCTTCTTGTACAACAAGGAAGGAGACTACATCAAAGTTAAGCTTCTAACAAATGACCTGATCACACCCCCTCTTCAAATGGGCTCATTATTCCCTGAAGATGATCATTTTATTCAAGAAAACTTTTCCAAGGAAGATTTGCTTCAAATCTCGCGGACAAGCAACGGCAGAGTAGTACCCGAACTCCTTATTGGGATGGATTATTTCAACAACATCATGAAACTCAACGAACCTGTGGTGCGCCTTCCATCTGGGCTTTTCCTCACACCAACCTTCTTCGGTCCTGTGATATCAGGAGTCCCTCATACTGACAGCAGACAGTCTGAAATGAATAATTTCAGCAAACGGCTTGTACATACGTACACGGCTTTCGACTCAAATACCAACCATATGGACATTTTCGACTTATGGAAACTCAATGCAATCGGCATTGAAGACATGAGTACCGAAGAAGAAATCAATGACCAGATAGTGACGGACTTCTATTCAACAGTTCAAATCAAAGATAACAAGATATTCGTGAGATTCCCCTGGAAGTCGAACAAGAATAGTCTCGCCAATAACTACAACCTTGCACTAAGCAGACTTCATCAACTGTTCAAGATGAGAGAGCGCAATCCTCAATGTTGGAAAGAGTATTGCAGCATAATCGAAGAACAACTTACAAAACAGTTCATTGAAGATGCACCTCAATTCCAAGCAAGCAGCACAACACCGTGCTATTACATCCCTCATCAAGCAGTTATCAAGTCAGAAAGTGCAACGACGAAAACCCGCATCGTCCTCGACGCATCCTCCAAAATGAAAGGTGAATTAAGTCTCAATGATGTGATATATCAAGGACCCCTTATACTACCCAATTTGTGTGGAGTTCTCATAAGGTCAAGAATAGGGTCAAAAATAATGATCGCGGATGTCGAAAAGGCATTCCACATGATTCACTTACAAGAAACAGAACGAGACGCTGTTCGTTTCTTATGGCTCAAAGATACAACGCTTCCGCCAACACCTGATAATCTCAGAATACTACGATTCTGTCGCCTGCCATTCGGAATAAATGCTTCCCCATTTCTATTGGGCATTTCAATCAAGTATGGCATCGAAAAGCAGTCAAACCTTGACAAAAACTTTCAAACACAACTCAACGACAACCTCTACGTAGACAACGTTCTTCTCACGGATGACTCCACGCAGTCGCTTATTGAGAAATATCAATTATCAAAGCGAGTGTTCAATAATATGACTATGAATCTGCGTCAATTCATTACAAGCGACGAAACTTGTAACGCGTCCATAGCCCCTCAAGACTTGTCAACAAGCAAGTCGACAAAAATTCTTGGAATCCCATGGAACCATCAAAAGGACTCATTCTCGATTCAGTGCAAACTCCGATACTCCCCCACATCAACCAAGCGCAAGGTTTTACAAGCAGCGCACTCAACTTTCGATCCTCTGGGGCTCCTCATACCCTTGCTACTACCTGCCAAGCTCTTTCTTCAAGACCTGTGGAAAGGCAATTATAAATGGGACGACGAGTTGCCTCCCAAACTTCAGTGCGAATGGCAATCAATCTGTGAAAACGCAGCTGGATTCGAAACGTCGGTCCCTCGCGCGGTCACAGACCTTGCAGGAAACAATCGCTATGAAATCCATACGTTTGTCGATGCGTCAACACGGGCTTTCGCTGCTGCGGCCTACCTGCGAACGATCGACGAACACGGCAGGGTTCGCATAACTCTGCTCATAGCTAGACAGCGCTTGGCACCGATCAATAAAAATAAGAAAACAGTAACGATACCGCGATTGGAGCTTTTAGCACTCCTAATCGGAATCCGGCTCACGAGCTTCGTGTTACAAGAGATACGACTAACTATAAACGAAATTCGTGTTTATAGCGACTCACAGGTAGCTCTCAACTGGGTCCAATCAAATAACAAAAATGGAACTTTCGTCGACAACCGCTGTAGAGAAATACGAGAGAAAATACAAAACTGGTCAGATAAAGGTATAATATGTCATCTCCACTACATACCTTCCGAAATGAATCCGACAGACTGTGCCACAAGAGGCTTAACCAAGAGTCAGATGAGTGCCAACATCTGGTGGACTGGTTCTCCCTTTCTACTCGACGACGCTTCACGGTGGCCCCAACTAACGGAATATTCCTGGATGTCGAATGAAAACGAGAAAGATGTCAATTCTTCCGACCTCGAGGAACCATCTCACAACGTTCTGACCACAAAAACCGATAAACTCGCTCAATTATCAATATTTCGAAAAGACTTTTCGTCATTCAAGAAGTACAAAAGGATTCTATCCCTGGTCATGAAATTTCTCAAATTCAAGATTTTCAATAAACTCTCAATGAAAAATAGAGAAATATTAAAGAAAGCCATACCTGAAATCGAAAAGGTAGTCGCGGACCAACCGCTCACGTTACTGCACTCCGTCGACCTCATAATGGCTGAACAAAGCTTGATCAAGTCGGCACAGAAAGTACTTTCTCAAGAAAAAATCGCGAAACTCAATAATTTACAACTATACACAGACGAGAACGGAATTATCAGGTGTCGAGGGAGAATTCAAGCTAAGTATCTGGCAAAAGAAACGCAAGAGCCAATTCTTCTTCCAGAAAACCACAACCTCACCAGTCTAATTGTCAAAGATATTCACCGTCGCTGCGGACATCAAGGCGTCAATGGGACACTGGCCAATATACGTCTGAACTACTGGATCCCTAAGGGACGCCAAACAGTCAAGAAATGTTTGAAATCGTGCGTGAGTTGCAAAAGATGGAATTCGAAACCCTTCTTTTATCCAGACTCACCGCCGCTGCCGCAGTCTCGGACAATGCCAGCGCGTCCCTTTTTACATGTCGGCATCGATCTCGCTGGTCCCTTTCGCGTGCTCAACGGCGAAAACATGGAACAAAGACGATGGGTATTACTCTCAACATGCATGGTAACACGAGCGATACATTTGGAAATCGTCAATAATTTGAGTGCATTAGAGTTCCTTAACGGTTTACGCCGAATTGTCGCACGAAGAGGGAAACCAACACTCATAATATCAGACAACGCGACGAACTTTACTTTCGGTCGCGAAATTATTGAAACTCTGAAAGACCGCGACGAAATTCCCACTCAAGAAATTCAAAATTTCCTTTCAAATGAGGGGATCAAATGGAAGTTCATCACACCCCTCTCCCCGTGGAAAGGAGGTTTCTATGAACGCATGGTCGGGGTGATGAAATCAATACTCAAAAGAATAGCTCACAAGAGGTCACTACAAGAAAACGAATTCACCACCGTAATACCGGAATGTGAAGCCATGGTCAATTCAAGACCACTTACGTACACTGGTAGTACGGTAGAGGATTCGGCAGTTCTTAGGCCCATAGACTTCATTATACCCTATGCCAATGTCAACTTTCTGCCTTACAACGATCAGGATCAGGATCCCGACTACAGGCCAATACCCTCAACAAAAGAAGAAACTGTTCAACGTTTTCAAAAGCATCTAAAATATATGCAAAAGGTGTGGGAATTCTGGACTAGCAATTACCTGTTAGAACTGCGAAACTTCCATCAAACAAGAATAAAGCAAAAGAGTTTCACAAGAAAAGAGCCCTACATCGGCGAAGTTGTGCTTATAATGGAAGAAAATACCCCTCGCGGGATATGGCCCTTGGGTTTGGTTACAAAACTCATACAAGATCCAGATGGGAACGTCAGATCAGTTGAACTTAGAACAGCAAAATCCAACATTACGCGATCCATCAACCAACTTATTCCAATGGAAATCGAAGAAACACATATTCAAAAACAAATCGATGAAATAAAATCGATACGAAAAGAAGAGCCAGCAGAGGAATGCGTCAATAACAGCATACCGCCTGATTGCGAGGTCGCGACCCCGCAATACAATGGCACTGCCGGACGAACTCGACCGTGGCTACCACGTCGCGCAAAAGAACAAATAAACTACTGCGTGAACGCCACTCAAGCGCACGCAGAACGCAGAGGAATCACCCGATCGAAAGCATATTGGCATCACTGGCTGACGTTGGCATTGTTAGCGAGCTTTTGCGCAACCGTACGCTCAATATCGAACACCGAGAAAAGGGAAGGAATGATTCAGTGTTCAAAAGGAGGGGTAGTTCTTCAAATGGTGCAACCTCAAAGTAAAATACAGGTCTGCGCTAATGATTACTGTTTGGAGATTGACAACCCAGAACCGTCCCTCAAAGTACAGTTCCCCGCAGAAATAACTTTACATTCTTACCATATAGTGGTCAAAATGTTACTTAACAACTCAACGGAAGCATACAATTGGGCTTGCCCCCCGAGTCCCTATTGCGAGCAAATTGCTTGTACGTTTTGTACACCGATGGTCACCAACCCAGAGTGTTGGCCTCGAATGGCCATTCTCTTGGGCGCAGTCGTCTTCTACATGGTCCTCATAACAGTGTGTCTCACCTGCCACGCCGTTAGGAAACTATGTAGAGGATGTAAGGCCATTTGTGACAAAGTCAATAAGGTAAAAAATTTGTGCTTCTCAAAATGGAGAGCGCAGCGAAGACCATCAACGGATTATGTACCTCTGGTGGAAATAACCAGCGGCCATCAAAGGAAATGGAGGGCTTCTACTTTGATAAGACTTTTGACCATTTGCGCCATATGGAGTGTAGGCTACGGGTGTCAGCAGGTAATACTTGTCCCATCAACAGTCAACCGATGTGATTCAAGAGATCAAAGCTGCAACAATCTTACCACAGTGGTCGCCAAATTCAACACAATGCAAACAGATCTGTGTTTGCAGGTTAAATATAATAACTTCCAAGCACATCTTATGAAGATTTCAGTGGAAAACGTTATACTGAGATGTCAAAAAGAAACACTCTACTTCACTCAAAATACTGAAACACGCGTACAGTCAAGGAAAAGATGCCCAAGCAAGGGCTCATGTACCGGTCTCAAATGTGCAGGTGTCTCAACAGAAACCCTTGTCGAAGAACTCGACATCGCCAACAATTTCACTGGAATCACCTACTGCACAGAGTCGTGTGGGTTTTGGGGATGTTCGTGTGGCTTCCCATCATCGGGATGCCTTTTTTATCGGATCTACCACGTCCCAAAAGATGACGATGTCTATGAGATTTTCCAATGCCCAACGTGGTACGAAACTATCCGAATCAAAATTGAACAGCTGGACTCCCAACATAACTCAAGGATCTTTACAGGGGAAATAAAACCCTATACAGTCCGTACCTTAGGCAATACCAGAATTGAAGTAACGTCCTTTTACTTCCCGACAACGTCAATACAATACAAACGCTTCATAACTAACAATAAAACTACCGCTTATCTGGACGATGAGACAAAGTTCAGTTATGCTTGCTCTTCAAATCCTTCAATCCGCAACACGTCAACTCAATGCAGTATAAGAGATACTTGTAAATGCAATCCTGCAGAAAACACAATTTCATGTTACTGCACAGACAATGATGTCTCTCAAACACGCCACCTGTCAAACACCTTACCCTTACCGATCGCAAATGGAATCGTCCTCGTAGGACACAAACACATGCCGAAAATCCACATGACGGCGTTCTCCATTGAATTAGCAGTGAATTTCGATCGGAGTTTAATCAAGATGCATGAAGAAGTACTTCATTTCAACTGCAATGTAATTCCCAAAACCCTCAAAGGATGCTACAATTGCTACAAAGGAGCTATAGCCACAATAGGATGCTCAACGGACCTACAACAAGCGAACGCACAAGTGACATGCGGTATACGTCAGTTTGTGCTCAAATGTACACGAGAGGGATTCGAAAATCAAGTTAAATTGTTTTTCAATCGAGCGCGAATACATGAACAATGTCGCGTTCAGTGCGGCTCCCAAACCACACTCTTCGAACTCAAAGGAACTCTCAATTACATTAACGGGGTAAGAACACTTCCAAAATTCTCAAAGCTGTGGGAAAAGTACAGCAAAAGTGAGAATGAAACGTTTGACATCGAATGGGGATTTCCGGATATAGAACACTTCCTTGAAATCTGCAAAGAGTTTTACATTCATACCGTAGTCGTTCTCCTCACAGTCCCATGCGTCGCCCTTATCAGCGTCGCATATCTTTGCTCAAGAACAACAACGGTGGCAACCTCAGCTTCACCGAGCTCAACATTAGCATTCCTTGGCTTTCCACTGCCAGTGCTCATATGTAAAGCTCTCGTAAGGCTCTTGAAATGTATTTTCCGCGCTCCTCTACGTTTGCTTCATTTGCTTTGGAGACTCTCATCGAAATGAAACAAATAGGACTATTGCGGTATAACACATTTTATTTGCAGTTTCAACTTGTTTTTTGATTCCCAACATCTCCTCTGTTCAGAATTAATTTTTCAAACAACATCACTCTCAATTTTCAAACTCTCACTATGCGCGTTTTATCAACCTCAATTCGAGCTCTCGCTCTGCCTCATTCATCCACGATCGTGTATGAAATTTGTATACCATGGGAAACCTATAGTAACTCGTGTCTTTCAGATGGCGCAGAATGAGGGTGCCCAAGAGGGAGCGGACATCGCTCAAGAAGAAGTGCCGCTGGAACCCGGCGAGGTTGTCAACACCGATCATCAAGAAGAGCAACCGTCGCGTCAACAACCTCCGCAAATGGAACTTCGCCCTCTCAATGAAGCACGAGTCAATCACGCCGAGAACGAGGAGCTCGAAATAATGCACAGGAAAATCAATCGCATTCTCGGTAGAACCGATGAAATTCCGCCAATGAAGGCGAAGATCAGCAATATTTCGGTATGTACCCTACTTTCAATTCAGTCAATTTACTTCAATTTGTCATTTTTATCAATCTATTTAACTTGTTATTTTGAATTTCAAGTTATTTTCACAAACCCGAATCATTTGAAGTTTCAATAATCGCTTATACATTCAATTTCGTATCAAAAGTTTTGGGCACCCCCTAAAGAGTAATTTTTAAGAAGCCGACATACCCGACCAAAAAGCCAAAAACCGATCATCCGTCGAAGTCTTCTTCAAAATCTTTAAAAAAGGCTCGGCCTGACGAGGTATCCCCTCCAAAATATAACATCAAAATAAGAAGCTCCACTTTATAACTTAGAGCTGTCAAATAACCTATTTCAGGGACTCCTTCATATAGTTGATCAACGTACAATTGACATGAAGGACATCTTAAGCCGCACGATCAACGGTTTGGAGCAAATATACGACCAGCAGAGAAGAGTGCTCAATGAACTACACGACCATTCCGACCTACTCCAGGAACTAGTGGCTTACCCACAACGTAACCAACCAGGACCAAGCAAGTCAAGTGGTCAAGGTAGTCAAAATCAGCCGTTGCGCTGTGCGTTTTGTGATGGGAATCACCACGCTTCTGACTGTACCACCTTTGTGAACCTGACTGATCGCAAGCGCAGAGCATTTGAGCGCAATCGCTGCGAGAGATGCCTGAAAAAGGCAGCGCATATGGCCACATCCTGCCCAGAACCTAGTTTCTGCTTCTATTGCAGAATTGCTAGAAAGAGCGAAAACATGCAGCAGCATCACAGCGCCTTTTGCCCTTGCAAGTTTCCGATGTGATCAAGTTTTTTTTTCAATTTCCATCCTTATGTCAAGTTTCAATGTGCTCTTTCTCAAATTTCCTTCATATCAAATTCAATATGATCAACTTCAATTGTCAATTTTGGTCATCAGTTTGTAGTTTGTCATCCTGAGTGCCACTTGATCATTGGTCAAATAACTTATGAAAACGACTCAAAATTTCAAGTGAGACTCACGATGTCAAATTCAAAATATTCAATCGTCAATACTTTCAATATTTCAAGTTTACTCATTCTTCAAT